TGGTTTTTTAGATTAATTTTTTAATCTACTATAATTATTTTATTCTTTTTAAAAAATATTCTTATAATTTTTCTTTTTACAAAAGATTGCATTGTCATCAGTTTCTAAGCTATCCTGAAAGTTTCAGCTTGCTAGCTAGTCAGGAAGTGAGCAAAATTTGAGTTGCAAAATTTGATCCGGACAAACAAACGGACAAGAAAGCGAGTTAATAAAAACGTGACTTGCTAGCTAGTCAGGAAGTGAGCAAAATTTGAGTTGCAAAATTTGATCCGGACAAACAAACAGACAAGAGAGCGAGTTAATAAAAACGTGTTAAAAATGACTTTGCATCTTATGTTCATTATTTGCATTTACTGTTAGTGATTCAGATCTGAAATTGTATCGCAATATGCTCAAAGATTATATTTATATGCACAGAATCCTTTGGCATTCAATTATTTTAATAAAAAAAGATTTTCATGTTATATTTTCACGCCTTTTTGCTTCGTATCCAGCATGGAAATTGATTTAGGCTTCTTTCTTGCCATATCGATTCTATTTTTCAAAGAATTCTCATATATTCATATAAATGCTGATCGATTTCCAGGGAAAAGAATGTTTTCATTGCGAACAAGCGAAAATCAGCAGGAAAAGCTTTATTTCTGCTGACTGAAATAATTTGGACAAGCGCAAGACCTTCATTGTGAAACTTCAAAAAATCTGCTGCGTTGAATTCAGCTCGAATTTAATACTTTAAAGTGTACCTGAACGTTCAGGATCCCGAATTGAGGAGAAATTCAATATGCAGGTGAACTCTCTCAACAAGAACCTTGTAGAAAAGTTGTTTCTCTGCACAGTGTAACAATTTTTTCTTAGACTCTTAGGGTTCTCTCCCCATGTTAAAGAGGGTGTCTACAATTATTTTTCTTAGTCCTTCAATTTTGGTTCAGGGAGAGTCTAGGTATATTAGCAAATTTGGAGCAAAACTCTCAAGAAATGTTTGTGATTGGCTGCAAACCCAATATACAGGTGTTGCCCTGCAATTTGATCATAATCCCTTACCAGTGAGGGTCAAATTGCAAAGCAGTTGAATTGCAAAGTAGTCAAATTGTGAGACAATGTCAAATTTGATGTTTTCTCTGTATAAACTATCACATTTTGAGTCTCTCTGCAGGCCAAACTGTTGGGCAAGAGGTTGAATTGCAAGTCAATGTCCCAGCAAATTTGATGGTGAAATTGCATGATGGTCCAATTGCAGAACATCAAATTTTCATGCGACAGGTTAACCTCAATTTAACCTCAATTTAACCTCACTCGACTCAATTTAACCTCACAAAATGCAACTGTCTCTCAATTTAAAGGTCAAATTTCCTTGGAGGTTGACTCACAATTTGACCTCTTTCCTGAAATTTGACCTGCTTTGGCCTCTTTTCTACTGCTTTTTGTGTGGTTTACCCTTGCTTTTATATAGTGTCTCACAATTTGACCATTTTCACAATTTGATCCTAGTTTGGCAATGGATGAGGGTTGAAATGCAAGATACTACCTGTGTAAATAAATAAGACAGTATGTAAAAATGAATTCTCACAGCAATGACTGCCAGGAACTTTGCCTGATGACATTGATTATTATTAACCCTTGGGCAGCACTATTTTTGCAAAACTTTGCTGCACGCTTGATGAAAGAAAAGAAAAAATGGCAACAGGGAGGTGAGGAAAAACTTGAAAAAGTCAGGAAAAATTCTGATGTTTTTTTTTTCTCAGAAAAATTTTGCAAGAAAATAAATTGGTATGTTATGTAACAGGCTTTTTGCAGATTAATCCCAACTTTGCCTCAGCTCACCTGGAAGGATTTTTCTGACCTTCAGAAAACTTGAAATGCCCCAGCAGACAAAAGTAATCTGACTTCAGCCAGCAATGGGAAAGAATCCTCCACTGTCCAAGGGTTCATCGAACATGCATTTAAAAGTTCACTGATTCTCGAAAGATATATTAGCATAATTTATATATTAATATTCATTTATTTCACCTGACTGGTGCTGGATCCAGAAGCTACTACTGCTACTATATCGAATGTTGCCAGCGCACGTTCGTTTCTGCGGGTTCCCCAGCCCCCATCACACAATAAGTGACCTGGTTGACCCCCAAAAGGATGGGGTTGAAATGGTCGGGTTCTACCTCAAGGACACAAGCGGCAATTGGACAAGGAGGTGCGCGGAGGCGCGGCCCAGACCGAGGGTGGGTTTGCCGCCATGCATGGCGGGGATATTCTTCAAAGATCCTCTCCAGGGATCCCCCCAAAGGATCCCTTGCTGGCTAGGCCGATCGCAGTCAGCTCTCTGCTCGGGTCTGAAGCAGTCGCTTCTCATCTCCATCATACAGTGACGCAATTTATTATTTTCCTACATTTAAACTTTTTTTTTAAATATCTCAGCAACATTTTCTCATCCCGACGACGAATTCATGAGAAACAGTGAATACGGTACTTTTATGTTACTATTAAAGAGGCATTTCCAACCAAAAACTCGTGTGCTTTTCGTGCAATCTCTATCTTTGAGTTTTTGTCAATTACAAAAACTTGTTGCCTGCTCCAGAAATATTGTTTGAATT